CATTATAACAAATGTCAGAAGACCAGGAAGATTTTAAAACAAGTGGTTCATTCAAAAATCCTTACCTTCATGCTGTGGAAATACAAGCCTGAAGACAGAACACAATAAATACAGCGCTGAAAATACAGTAGGCGAAGCTACATAAGCTCTAGAATGTGAAGCTGTCATGCCGTGTTGAGTTTTGGGTAACTGTCTTGTTTAGACACCATATTAAGAGGATTGCACTGCTAGTGAGTGTTTTGATTTTCTGTAGGTCATTCATGCTGCATTGAGAATTGCCATAGTAACTCGCATCACCGTTCAGGGAGAAAACTGGACAAGTTAATACTCTCTGACGAGAAGACGCCAGATAGCAAATCTATTAATAATGTCACTGATTAAAACCAATACCTATCACTCAATACAATAATCACATTGCTGATTATTTTTGAACATTTTATATTTTGTTTGGTTTAACATTACCTTTGTAATTGACTTTGACATTTTGTTGGCTTGTGAATATGCAAAACTTGCACACAGCCACTACAAAACCTGAGAGGCTGCTCACTGCAGAGCCATGGGTAGAGCGTGAAGTCCAACTCCCCCTCTCTGGATGTAATTTGGGCACAATTGTTGAAGCATGAAGGTCCAACCACACCCATAACTCCATCCTTCCACCCATTAGGTCCACAGAGGTTGAGATGGACTAGGTCTAGCTCAACCCATGATGTCCAGAGAGGTGGAGCTGGATGTCATTTGGCATTTGACATTGTGAACGGGATTGTGCAAAACGACAGTGAAAACATCCAATTATCATGCATTAAAATAGCCTCTTTTCCCTGCAAACGATGCCATGAAGAATGTGAATATTTCATTTAAAGGCACAAACAAAAAAGGTGCAGGTATCAGCTATAGGAAGCAGAGGGCGATCTCTAGGAGATGGAGGCGCTGCCTCGCAATAAGCATTTTCAAAAACTGGGTACAATAAGACGACATTTATACTCACCCTTCAACAATCAAACATTAAAAATTACATTTAAAAGTGTAAAAGCATTAACAAATTTTGACCACAGACCCCCGATAATTACATATCACTAGTAATAGGCCTTTGTCTTTGGTAACACTGGAACATTGAGTGATAATGATTCGAAGTGATTTCTGTCATTGCCACAGACAATGAGAAGTCTATTATATTTACCTGCCTTAGACACATTCCAAACACTGCTAAAAAGGATTAGAAGTGAAAAAGGGGAGACAATTTTATTTTAAAGCATCTGTGTGAAAACAAATCTTGAAAGAGGCATGAGGATTTGGGGAGGGAAAAAAAAGAGATTCTTAGTGCATTCCATTGAATAATTAATGTAATACATGGTAAATTAAATCATGAGCATACTACAAATGCACACAGTGGCCAATGTTTAGTCTTTTTCGTCGAAATAAGAAAATAACCAGGGGGGAAAGAATGCAGTGACTGAAAAGAGCTCTTGACAGATATTATTGTCACACCACGTCACAATAAAATTACACGCATTACGTTATTCTCTTGAAGTCTGAACATGAGAACATTGAGGAAATTGTACAGCTCATTCGGTCAAATCGACAGATAAATATTTGTTGCATTTGTTTTAGTCTTTCAGAGTTGGTCTAAAACTAAAACTCGTTAGAGAAAGTATTTAAAAAAAGATTCGCCACAGGTTACCATAGCAACAGAACGCTAATGAACACTTCGCATAAGTATACGTTATGTCGACCAACATATGAAGGCCTATACTGTCATAAAAACGTTGTAGCCTATATTTACACGAATAAACTCGAATGTTTTGTTTAAACAAGATTAAAGTCAGTTAACGGGAACATCCACAGTTGCTCTCAGAAAATTTGATTTGCGATCATGTCAATAGGCTAACCTTAACTAACCGACCTTAACTGTTTGAGCTGTTATTTCAAATTACCTAAATATTAGAATACAGATCTTTCCTTATTGCATTACACTAAATTTAGTCGAGTACTTAGAGAAAGCCTTGAGCACAATCTTGTTTACAAGAAGAGCTTACTAATTAGACTAACACAAAACTAGTAGGCCTATTCTAGCAGACAAAAAAAGAACTGGACTTGTTATTTATTTTTTGTCAAATACTCAGATAAGTATATTTTTGACTGAATGTGCAGCCTAAAGTTTAGGCCTAAAAAGTGCTTTTGAAAACATGATCATTACACTGACAAGCATAAAAAGATCAAAGAGATTTGAGGAATGATTAATCTGAGTGCTTTCAATCTCATTACAAAACGCATTTACATAATCGAAAAGTTTAAGCCTCATTTATAACGAAAACAAAAAAAGAAGAAGCGTTCTGCAGACATTTGCGGTGAATACGGAGTCATTTAAAGACGTAGGCCTACCTTCGATTCACAAGTCGAGACTAATTAACACTTTCATAAGCCATACATAACTGAACGCTTGCAGCTGCTATTTTTTAGCCATTATTCTGAATCATACTGCAGTGTGTCCTCGTTTGTCATTCCCCACACCGCACAGCACGCAGCGCTATTAAATTGGTATTATTTCGAATTTAGACTCAGCGCCCCATTGGTACAAGGCAGGCATACCGTAGTTTCTGGCTTATTACCAGAACAATTTTCATGGAACTATAATGAATTAAATTAAATGAATTCCAAAAACGAATTATTTACGGATGTATCGATCGGTAGGCCTACTGAACAGGCCAACCCCGCTATCATTGTGTTGCAAGGCATGAACGTCAGAAACTACACTATACACCTTGTCAACTTATTTATTGTACAGTTAGTCTAACTGATCATTTAAAAATGTGCTATTTCTAGAAACATAAGCATTAAATTATCACTCTGAACACATGTGTTTTTTGTGGTTGTTTTGCGTAATTGACTCAAATAACATATTTAGCCCCTTGCATAGCCTAAGTGATCATTTAATCTTTCACAAAAATCACCTATAGGCTACTGAAAGAAAGAAAGAAAGAAAGAAAGAAAGAAAGAAAGTAAAGAATACTGTAGTAGCCTATGTTTAGAATTTGTTAAGTTTATCATCAAACGTTATAATAAGCGAGTGTCAAAAATCTCCCCCGAATGCTTCTATTCACTCTTTGTCACTCATTGGCTTTTTTCCTGTACAATATATTTGTGGTTCTGTCCCACACTCTGCTCACTGTAGCTCTAAAGTCTGCAGCTATCGATTTTTTTTTCCTTTTCTACGCCGCGCTTGGTTCAGTAATCAGGGCCCCCTTCCCAACCGATCGATCAATATTGATTACAAAATCTTACGCCTGTAAACCGTTTACACCAGGGAATAGCGGCAGCGACACCTGCTGGTTGACTCGGGTTATAACATCAAACACAGCCTGCTCGGTTTGTTGAAATTCTGAGGGGATATAAACGTGTGTTGGAGAACTGACAACCACTGTCAAAAGGCAAATGAATTTCAAAAACAATAGGCTCCAGTAAATCGTGCTGAAAGCCAAGGTCGTCTACGTCAGATACGCTGATGTCTGTTTTTTTTTTTTCAGGCGTAGTTATTTCAGGCGAACACCACAGACGACTAATAACAATTTAAAAAAGGCTTTATAGCTTCATCATTCACTTCAGACGCGGCGCTTCGAGACACCTTTATGCGATAGGAGCAATGTTGTGCGCAAACAAATATTATAGGCACGTTAGTACCGTCGACATTTAAACGGTACACTTCCAAGTGTACAATGCATTTAATGGCGTGCGCCCGCGCGCGCGTGTAAACGCAGAGTGGCTGATATAGAATCTGAATATGATGGATGCGGTCCAGGCAGTTAGACGCCTGTAGTAAACAGATTTGACTGCGAGAGGTGACTTGATCAATGGGCCTCAGCTCAGTGTAATTAGATATATGGCACCACAGTTTGGCTCCAGTCACTCCACAAATGCACACAAGATAGATAAAATCCGAGTAAGACGCAAAGAGCTGCTGCTTTTACAGGTGACTGAGGTAAGAAATGAATGATCCATTCACAAATAATGCTGAGAGAGGCAAAAGGTCTGTGAGTGCATTGGAAAACAAAACAATAATACAATGTAAAATATTTTTTTTTTAAATATGTTACATAACATAATTGCTATCAAGTAAAAGAAAACCCTGCTAAAAATGCCACCGGATCATCTTTTCACACAATAAAATTTGTAATTGCAAGCTGTGTAAACAAACTAAAACATTTCTTGGCGTAGGCTACTCATGTTTCCACTTTGGTACAACACTCGCAATGTTTACTGCCCTCAAGTAGGCAGCCAGAATCTCTCTCTCTGTGTGTTGCCAGGACAGAAACATACAGGAAGGTGGTGTGAGTTAAAGGCAGTTCGAAAATACCCTGCCTCTCTTAGGTTTGTGCCCTCCAGTGGCCTTTGTTTGAAGTCGCAGACTACAGACCTGCTGGAGGGGCGTTCAGACCGAAGTCTCTGTGGACGACCCCACCTCCAAAAACAGACACATACACACTAAAATAGGATGAGTCAATATCCCCCTTGTGTCTATCTATCTATCTATCTATCTATCTATCTATCTATCTATCTATCTATCTATCTATCTATCTATCTATCTATCTATCTATCTATCTATCTTTCTTTCTTTCTTTCTTTCTTTCACAAAGACCCCTACTTTTGTATACCAGTCACTCGCTCTCCTACTGTGAGCCCAAACTGCATTAATATTGAATCAAACAGCAGTGTCTCCAACGACCAGGCTGAGATGCTCACCGCTGGCCTACTCTGTCTGCTCTCTTTAAAGGGATGATTTTTGACCTCCGGGGAGATAGAATGGATTTGTCTTAAATCACTATTAATCCACAGCCAAACAGGAGAGTCTGAATATTTTCGACTTCCTGCAAAGCCGTTCATCTGTGGAATTTGCTCTGAAATAGGGCATTTCAGTATGTAGAGCAAACATGAGGCTAATTATTTTTTTTTCTTTGTCTACTTCCCTTTCCCTGAACTTTTCTTATTCATCCTCCTGATCCCCACAGCCTGCAAGCGCAAGGAACAAGAGCAGCACAAGGAACGCAATATGACACCCAAGAAGCAGCGCTTGGTCTTCACCGATCTGCAGCGCCGCACGCTCATCGCCATTTTCAAGGAGAACAAGCGGCCCTCGAAGGAAATGCAGGTGACCATCTCGCAGCAGCTGGGCCTGGAACTCAGCACCGTCAGCAACTTCTTCATGAACGCGCGTCGCCGCTGCGTCGATCGCTGGCATGAGGAACACCATCACGGTCATGTAGCCAGCCCAGGCCAGCCGGGCACCTCCGCCACCACCTTCTCCAAGGCTTAAATTTAAACCCCTTTCTCCCCTGGGTGGCTAAGACTGGATTTTCATTCCAACCTCACATAGTCACCCTTTGCGTGCCAATCAATCCCACTGCTGCCAAAAAACAAAAAAATGGCGACGTTTCACGTAAATGCAACCTTTTACTTCTTTGGGACTGTTATTAAATCAAGTCAAACATCTCCACGTGGAAAAGCACCACATCATTCTCGCATAAACCACAAAAAAGTGAGCACTCTTCATGCATTTGAGGAGCACTTTCATAGCTCACAGCACAGACGGCTTGTTACTCAAGCGAGGTTGTCAAAGAAAGCCACCACCTGCATCATCACTCTCAGGCCCATGGCGGCACAATTCCCTAATGGCCAGTTGTTTCTCTGAGGCTCTCAGATCATATGCTAAGCTAATGAATTGAGAGACTAATCGATACAGACAGAAAAGCGAAGGACGTCGACCTCTACTGAAGGTGAAGCTCCTGCAACAAGGACTCTCGCGTTCACCCAGCACGGCTCTCCATACGGTTTATTTTGCACAGATGGAAATGGAGGGCTGCGACGTTTCACTGCACTTGAGGTTAATGCATGTTCACAATTCAAACTGTCCGTGATGCAACAAGTGAATCATTTGAGAACTGTCCTCTAGTCTGGAGACAAAATACTGGACCATTTTCAGCAATGGTGCACCCTTTCTGATCTCGAAAAACTGCGACCTATGACATTTCAAGTATGAATAGAATATTTTTCATTCCGTATAAATACATAATAGGCCAAAGGTCAAGACAGGTACAGCCAAAACACAACGAGAGGCACATTTTAACCTTGTATGGAAATATTTGTTACAAAATGGTACATTTACACACAACTGAAATCTTACTGACAAATCAAAAATGTTATGTTTATCCTGCAAAGTGGACATGGGTAAACACAGTCCAAAAAGTTACATAAAATCTAGTGCCAATAATGTTTGCCTTAATATGAAAGTTCACATACCGCAGAGTAGTTCAGAGTCCACACCTAAACCGGCATTATGTGCCATAGCAACCAACAATCATCTTTTAAAAAGAATCAGAATCTTTTTTTTAAAACATAAATTATGAAAATAATTAATGCTTTAAATTATTCAGTACATCTGGTCTGTGATAAAACCAACTGAAAAGTGAGAAATATCAGCAACATAACAGAAAAATAAATCTTTATCCCCTAATCCCCTTTTTTTCCCACTTACTTTCTCTTCATAATATTAAAGCGGGTAATTGGTACAAAATATTTCTATTTCTTATCAAACTTGTGATCCATGTATACGTAAGGCATCGATCATTTGAAAATTAAAAAAAAAAGGAAAAAAAAAAAAAAGACTTTCTAAAAGAATAACCAATCTTCGGAGGACTGCAGCTGGACATCTCTGCATTGCATGTGAACTACCACAGGTCATAACGGAAGGAACTTTCACTGACCATGACAGAGACATTTCTCTCTCTTGGCTCTGTTGAAGAGCACACAAAACAAAAACAAGAATTCCACCCGAAATTCCTCCGCAAAACCTTGAAAAACCCTGCCAAAATGGGTGCGAAACAAGGGCACAACCTTACCTCCGTGGGGAGATGTTCAAAAATCGAAGGGGAGTATTTTTGTGTGTCTTTGAATGCAACAGTAGCATTTCTGGAAATGTTGCAGGACTTGCTGAACAGATAAAAGTTGGCGGTGTGTTAATGCAAAAATGCTCTGAGCATTGGAGTTATAAGCAGGCCCAGATGGAATCCGCAGAACTACGGTGGAAAAATCAGTGGAATTCTGTGGAATGAATTCAACCATGGTGCAATGTGTAGCTGAAAGCATATTCAAATTAGCCAAAATATTTCATAAACGAATATTCAAGGAACAGCAGAATTCTGTGAATGACATGAATGACATTCCACATGATCTTTCCACTTAATTATACACACAGATTCCATGTGGGCCTGGTTATGTGCATTAATAGAGCAGATTTGTGCTACACAAATCAGCAGGCATCTATATGTACATTACCTGATAAAACTGACCTTTTGTTTGTAGTGAGAACCAGTGTGGCTACCTCACTGAGCTGGGTGGTTTGTGAAACAGCCACTGATACCAAAGATTCTTTGACCTGCCAATCCTGTGCTGCCAACGGGAGGAATACACAAATACCAAAACCCCAATAGCATAACCAAAGCTGTTACAGGTGCAAACAAACAAATGGATTTTCACACATAATGACATACATACTCTCACAGTGCAGTCAGACTGCATAGCACCACACTGAGGGATGAGGCTGCTATGCAGATTGAGTTGAGTGCCTTTTTCCTTCAACAACGGGTGGGACTGCTCTGGAACACACACACACACACGACACACACTGTGGGTCAGTTCACACACAGAAAGCGGTTTTTGTTTGTTTGTTCAATTTCGGTCCTTTTTAACAGTTTTTTTCGGTAACCTGCGCTACACTAACGTTTTTAACCGTTTCGCGGTTTTTGAATTTCTCTCGCGCCGTCGCGCGCGGACGCGGTTATTTAAAGGCGACGCATCGAGTTTAAAAACGCGGTTCTAGATCGTATGCCATTTTCCATGAACGCTGTCAGGCGTTTTTTTTAAACGCCTATGTGTGAACAGCACCTTGCACAATTACTTGAACATACAAATGTACACTACTTAGGCATAGACATTGAAGCACAGGGTGATTTTGACGTTAGTTTGACATAAACTGGTGTTTAAGCACTTTATAATGCCAAATTTATTTATTGTTTTTGGCACTATCACTTAACTGAAATTATTTGGGCTAAGAGCCCTGGAAAAATGCCCAGCTTTCTTTTACATTAGACTATTTCTTTATTTCATTTGCACTGTATATAATTACAAAAAGTTCAATGATAATATTGAAATATATTTTGCATGTCATACACCCTGATGTCACTCAAAATGCCTGAGTACTGTACCCACATATGGCCTATTTTCATTAACACTAATTTAAATCAAGCTATTTCATAAACTTTTGACATAAGCCTATACCAAAATTGACTTTATTCTAAGCTACATGGCTGGCTACAATTAACATTTTACACTGATTTAGGTCAAGAGCAACGATTCAAATAAAATCAGGTTTGTGATTTTGATTCATGAGAAGAGGCCATTTTAGAAGACACATATTGAACCATTTCCCTCTTATATTTCTCCCATTGGAAACCACATGGACTTGGCAGGAAGGTGTTGACAATTGATTCTGAAATACCTCAAATGTTTTGTGTAAAGTTTATGTAATTTAGATTAAACTAATGCTAATTACAATGAGTACACTAACACTGCTAAGACTAATAATAGTTAGTTTTTGAACTTGTGACTTGAAGCTTTATACTGTTAAATTGTGTTTTTGTTGGTGTTGTTGTTTGGTTCACTCATTTGCCAATTTCTTGTTTATTATTATTATTATTTTTATCGAAGGTGGTACTTAATTCTTTATAAAAGAAAGACATTTGAATGTTTATAATGAAAGACATGACACAAAGGAAAAGGATTTGAGAGTGAAAGAAAAACAACATTGAAAGATGACAGAAAAGAGCAAAATCACAGTACGCTGAATTTCCAATATATGCATCATTTTTTTCTAATGATTTCAGTTTCAGCATTAGTCAGACTTTAACTATATGTTATTTTTTTTAAAGCTAACTAGAGTGTGTTAAGTGCTCCTAGCATTGATTTAAAAAAATAATGAAAAAACAAACTCCTCCCATTTAAAGTGGTGGGGATACTTTTTTCTGCATGACTATTGTATACTGTATAGAGTAAAGCTGGATCGACCTGGACTTTGGAGGGAGCGACTAGGACGAATACACCACGGGAACGTTGGAGATGGGTGGGAAGGGTGGTAAAGGTGTTGGAGGGGTCTTTGTTTTGTAGAGTTTTCTGTCACTGTTTTTTTCTCTGGTTGTGTGCATGTATTGTTGCAGCCCTCTCTGCCCTCCTTGTATTTCTTTTATGTATATAACTCTTTAGTGGGGCATGACCGTTTATCCTGGGCAACTGAACTTGGTCATGTACCTAATGTACACACGTCTCTAAAAATGTAATCTTGTGTGCATTTGTTTACATGTGGCGTGTTTCTCGATTTGGGTTGCACACCATTTCACGCGAAACTGGAATGCTACCAGACAGTTTTTTTTTTGCAACAGACCCCTCCAACCAGAAATGGTCTCTCATTGACTGTAAAACAGCATCATGTACATCATGTTTCTCTCCGGGTCTGTCAGCAGATTCAACCCCCCAGTCACACTGTGCTCTTCCTCTTCTGTTACCTGTCAATCAATCAGAACCAAGTGTCTTTGTGATGGTAGAAGACAATCAGTTTCAAAACTAGGAGAAAAAAATGGTAGAGAGAAGACAGGCTGAGAGGAGGAGGAGGAGGAGAAGAGGAGAAAGGAAGGAGGAAAGAGGCTCATTGGTCAAATAGGTGACTACTGCCCTATTTAGCTTGCTGTGGTGCTTATGATGTGCAACATTAGCTAACTTTGCAACCGCTCTTCCCTGTAGATTTGTATAGTAAAGCATAGGAAACATTTAGGTGTTTTAAGAGGTAAATTTAACTTCAACAAGAAATTCTAGCCACCAAAATGGACAATAAATATAAGTTCCATGCTAAACATGATGCTAACACCCACTTTAGCATTAAGCTACATTGTTCTCTCACCTAACTAACCTACTCAAACACTGCTGTACCAATTAAAAAGAGCTAGCGCAGACAAGTGCTAACATTTGCGCTAACAATGCTCTTCAACCACAAAACGGTCAATAAAGAGCTGCCGAGACTGGTAGTCTTTGCACAGAGAACTATGCAAAAATACAACAAAAAGAAAAAGCCTTTACCTCAATCTTAATCAATGTTGCTGGTTCAGGCTCTTTTCCACTTCAGTCACTAGGATGATGTCACTTGCACCAATTATAGAAAACTTGAAATGTTATGTACCTGCTAAAACCATGTCAAACTAGTTTGAACTGGCTTGCTAGGATTATTATTGTTTTGGGGGGGTTTTTTAAGGTGTTTTTTGGGTGCTTGGCAGGCTGGGAGACCAATACACTGATAACCTGCTATGACAGCAAACCACCTTAAGCTGGTTTAAATTCTTTATTTTTAAAGCTGGGAATTTAACAGTGTAGCAAGTTCGCCAGATTATTATATATCGAAACACTATGTACACTATGGGAAGAGTGTGTGCAAAACAAAAAGCTCTTAATGAAAACGATTACATACACACAAACTCTCCTTAGAGCACATCTACCTGAGCCAACGACTGATCCAAGGGTAAAGACAATCCAAAAAAAAAAAAAACAATCAGTGTGTGTTTCTGAAGCTGTCGCATTGCCCTGGCTGACAATAATTTATGACGAGTGCAAGGATTCATGAATTGTAGCATTCAAGTTCAATGTAAACACCTAGAAACCAATATAATGAAGGACAAAATACCTGTCTCCGTTCAAAATCTTCTGTAGAAGACTTCCCAGTTTAATATCCTGTTGAAGCTTCACATGCACACACAAACTTGTTCTCAGGCAGCTGTTAAAGGTTAAAGGGCATGTCATCATGGAGAGCCTCATTCCTCCTCCTGTCCTACAGGGGGAGCCAGAGAGCCTGTGGAGCACTTTTCATTTAGTGCAAATGGACAGGAGACAAATTGGAGTAATAACTGTTACAGGAAAAAAAACAACTAAAAAAGGTAATATGGGTAAATTGCGTGTTTTGAAATAAAATAAAACCATTGTTGAACACATTCACACTATTGTCTGTTTATTTATCTAGCCTGGATTGGTTTGCAGCAATAAACAACCCCCCCCCAACATTTTCAGTTAAACATATTTATTTGTAAAGCATTTTTTTGTGCAAAAATACAAGTATATTTAAAAGACCAAATATTACAAAAACTAAAGATCATGGGATTTAGCCAATCAACTGTTTTTCCCTATTTATGCTTACAGTACTTACTTTTTTGCAGTTTGAAATGTACTACAAACCCAATCCAAAACGTACAATCGAGGTAATATATCGCTATCAATTGGATTACGTGTATGATGGGCCTCCATTTTGGAAATGCGGCAAAAATCCTGGGTTTGTGGACCACTGACCTTTGGTTACAATATTTGCTACAGACATTTCGGTCACATTTTTAGTGCATGACAAAACACACTGAAGATGCTAGCATGAAACATCACCATTCATTTCTCTATGTGAACCCTGTGGAGATTCTTTCTTCAGACCATCTGATGTAACTCTCCCGTCCTTTGGGGGCGCAGCAGAATGAATCCCGACTCCTGAGGTGATTAACTTACCAAAGCCTTTCCCTTGGGACATCGCATAGGATGAACGACGCTGAAAGGTACCTCTCCGAAACCTTTGCAGCTCAACAGACTCATTCTTTGAACTGTGTACCTACATAGGAAAGTATGGTGAGCATAATCAATAACACAACATGTAATATGCATGTTATGTTAATTAGAAAAGGATCTACCTTTTGTTTGTTGGGGTTTGTTAATACAACACCTAAGGCTCGTATGGTTATTGAGGGGAGGACAGCAATACAGGTGGTCACAAATATGGTCAGCCAAACCTCAGGGGTACTGAAAGCATTTGGTGAGGCTCCTGAAAATTCAAGATTCACATATTCAATAAGGAGTTCGACATTAAAGGATTTCCGGCTGAAATTCACAGTACAGACTTCTTACACTCTTACATTTGCCCTCTGGTGGCCTACATGAATACATTTTCGCAACATTTCATTTAGAAAACATGAGGAAGGGTTCAAAATTGTGATTCCCAATTCATATTTTATATAAGGTTAATATAGAAAAATGTTCAGTTAAATCTATGTGTAAAATAAATGTGTTATATATACAGTATATATATATATATATATATAAAGAATAAGGTTAATAATCATTCATTTGTATATCCATTTTATCTTATTTTTTAAATATTTATTTCCTTTTTATAATGTTCATCCAGTTAAGATTATTTTGAAAATCTATATTATTATTTTTACAAAACCTTTTGCGGTCATTTGTGATTACGTCATGTGATAAGTCATGGCAACAACTAAAATCATTGAAATATATTTTTTGTTAATCTAAAATAAAAAAAACCCAACTGATAATTAAAAAATAGCTAAAATTGCTCTTCATAATGACTGTATTTAAAATAAAAAAAAAAACAGAAAGCCTGATAAGGTGATATATAGAAAGTTTGCTACATGATTAAATGTATTTTATCTCTTCATCTAGAGATATGCAATTTATATGAATAATTATTAATCTGCAGGCATGAATACCCAGGAAAAAGTAGTCTTTAGGTGAGGCAGTGAAGAGGCGAGCGCTATGGAGAGCCAGTGTGGACAGAAAGAACACCACTAAACTAAAGATGACTGCTGCGATGTTCCACTTGGTCCAGAATTTTGTATGTAGAATAACCTAAAACCGGCAAGACACGAACAACATAATACAGTTATTATCACTGTCATAATAAGTAAATATTGCAGCCTTTATTTATGCCGTCTATTTACCTCGACAGTGGTGGTGAGCACCACAGACGTTTCCACCGTAACGGCTAATGTCTGAAAATCGAGAGCAGAGTACTGCAATATTCCCATAGGTATGAAGAAAAGGATCATGGAGGTGTAGAGAGAGTAGAGGAGTGTGACGACCAGAACAAAAGGATTGAAAAGCTGCTTCTTCTGTCCAATGGAGTAGATCTCCGGCCAGCACAGACAGCTCTTGGCACTCACGTCCTATCCCAGAGTCAATGTAAACGGATAGACTGACAGATGAACCAATCAGCTTTTGGATTTGTTGTGATTGGTCAAAATGCTCTGTATTTGGCTTACCTGTTCAAAAAAACCCAGGCACTGTATAGGCAGAGACGTGTACATTGTTGTGTAGAGGCTAATAAACCAGCTCTCGTACATGGGCTGGAAAAGAGAGCAGAAAATGCACCAAAAAAGCTGCTGATGTCATTTATTATCAGATAATGTTGCATGTTGATTTAATCTCAAACAGATCTCAGTTTGACTGTAATAGCAGATATTTTCAGAGTGCGGTTGGGGTTGGTGGGTGTAAAGTGGATTAAGTGACCTAGTTGCCTAGTATACCTGAGCGCTGAAGCCATTGTAGAAACTGTACCAGATATGCACCAGAGCAAAAGCAGTGGTTTTGTAGAGGAAATAGCGCAGAAGGATGCAGATGCGATAGTAGGACCAGTGCCCGTGCACCAGCAGCAGCCTGAGGAGGAAGCTGAACTGTGCCAGAGCGAAATCAGCATTCTGCACCGCCTGACTTCCCTCCATGCCGCAAAGACCCACGCCAATATGTGCCGCTGGTGAATATCGGAGATTTTTATTTATTAGCAAAGTGCAAATTTGATTTATTTAGCCAAATAGCAGATAATGATGCATTAAAATTAGGGCTGTGCAAAAATTAATTGCGATTAATCGCATCCAAAATAAAAGTCTGTGTTTACATAATATATTTGTGTGTGCTGTATATAATTATTTTGTATATATAAATACACACGCATGCATGTATATATTTAAGAAAATTTGTTCTTCATATATAAAATATTTATATTTATATAATATAGATTTTGTATTTATATATATATATATATATATACAGAATTTAAGCGCAAATAATTCTTAAATATATACATGCATGCATTGGTATTTATATATACAAAATAATTATATACAGCACACACAAATATATTACGCAAACACAGACTTTTATTTTGGATGCGATTAATTTTTGCACAGCCCTAATTAAAATAGTTACTGTTTTTTCTCACTCTTGATCATGTTCACGTCGTTGGCACCATCTCCTATTGCCAAGGTTATCGAAGTCGAATATTTCCTGACCATCTCGACCACTTCAGCCTTTTGTGCCGGTGTCACACGGCAGCAGAGCACAGATTGGCACTGATCAGAGAGAGCAACAAACTTCGCCCCCCATTCTGGTGTTTTGGTCAATTCTAACTGTAATGTACATAAAGTTGATTGTAAGACATATTGAGATATTATTACAATTTAAAATAACTGTTTTCTATGGTAATATATTTAAAATGTAATTTATTCCTGTGATGGCAAAGCTGAATTTTCAGCGTCATTGCTCCAGTCTTCAGTGTCACATGATCCTTCAGAAGTTATTCTAATATGATGATTTGCTGCTTAAGAAACATTTCATATTTTGATTCTTTGATGAATAGAAATTACTAAAGTCTTCTATCTAGTCTTTTTTGTGACACTTTTGTTCAATCTAAGATGGAAGCTTGTTTTCACCACAGAATAAAAAATAGGAAAAAGATAATTGCGACTTTTTATCCGTCCTTCGAATAAGACATTAAACCGAGGTCCTGACTCTCTGTGGTCACAAAAAAATCCCAGGATCTCTTTCGAAAGAGTAGGGGTGTAACCCCGGCATCCTGGCCTCTGTCCATCATGGCCTCCTAATCATCCCCATATTCTGATTGGCTTCATCACTGTCTCCTCTCCACCAGTAAGCTGATGTGTGTGGGCGTTCATCATCCAAGTGGATGCTGCACATTGGTGGTGGTTGGAAAGCGCTTTGAGTGCGGAGAAAAGCACTATATAAATGTAATGAATTATTATTATTATCATCTCACAATTCTGACGTGATATTAAGTCTGAATTACGAGTTATAAAATCAGAATTGCGTGATATATGGTCGCAATTGCGAGACAAAGTTAGAATTGCGTGATATAAAGTCGCGATTGCGAGACAGAGTCAAAATTGCGTAATATAAAGGCGCGATTGCGAGACTAAAATCAGAATTGCGTGATATAAAGGCGCGATTGCGAGACATAAAATCAGAATTGCGTGATATAAAGGCGCGATTGCGAGACTAAAATCAGAATTGCGTGATATAAAGGCGCGATTGCGAGACATAAAATCAGAATTGCGTGATATAAAGGCGCGATTGCGAGACTTAAAATCAGAATTGCGTAATATAAAGGCGCGATTGCGAGACTAAAATCAGAATTGCGTGATATAAAGGCGTGATTGCGAGACTTAAAATCAGAATTGCGTGATATAAAGGCACGATTGCGAGACATAAAAATAGAATTACGTAATATAGTCGCAATTGCGAGACAAAGTCGGAATTGGTATATAAAGACGCAGTTGTGAGACAGAGTCAGAATTATGTGATATAAAGTCGTGATTGCAAGACAGTCAAAATTTCGTGATATAAAGGCGCAATTGCGAGACATAAAATCAGAATTGTGTGACAAAGTCGCAATTGTGAGACAGTTGTGAGAGAGTCAGAATTGCGTGATATAAAGGCGCGATTGCGAGACATAAAATCAGAATTGCGTGATATAAAGGCGCGATTGTGAGACAAAGTCAGAATTGCACGATAAAAAAAGTTGCGCTGCAAAGGGGGAATTGCGTGATTTAAAGTCACAATTACCTTTTAAATTTTTTCTTCAGGGGTGGAAACAAGTTACCATAATTTAACACATCCTCCTTGCTGAACAAAAGTATTAATTTCTCTTTTAAGTCTTCATTTTTATCACACTAATCCATAACCTTTAAACAGTCGTGATATTTTTTATCTATTTATAAAATCTAAACATTTGGCTTTAAATTCTCACCAGTTCAGGACCCGAGATGACAATCGCAGCTTT